TTCGACGTCAAGTACTTGATGTGTAAAGTCTTCAGGGCGTTTTCTTTGGGTTTCCATCCGTCTGTTAGAATTTATATTTTGGAGATGGTGCAAAATGTGACGTATCACTGTAATGTAATGTTGTGTTTCTGAGAATCCGACGAATATACTGTAATGATTTTCCTCGTGTATTTTGGAACAGAGTAGTTAATTCTTTCGTGGATTCAGTCATTAAGATTCTGAGTTCGAGGTCTATTATTTGGATGTGGTCGGCTTTTTTGGGGGTGTCGGCTTCTTCCTGGGTTCAGGGTACCTCGTCGGGCGCGCTCTGCTGGAATTACAGACCAGCCGTAGTTGTTCTGCTTTTGCTTTGGGTTCTTTGGTCTGTGTTGCAGTCAGTGTCACACAAGAGGTGCCAACGATGGTCGCCCTCCAAACGGTTCAGTCTCCCACCGACAAAGTCGCTGCGAGTACATCCACGCGACATTCTTTCCCTACCTCGTCTTCCACGGCGTTGTGGATTGGTCCAAACGAGTACACTAAGCCGCAACGAATTTTGTAGTAAATCACACTACGTTTGACGGACATTGCGCTCTTGCACATGCCATTCATGCGTAGTCAGACGAAGGAACGCATCGTGTCACAGAAACATGACGCATCTCGGCAGCTGGCGACGAGAAAGCGGCTGGCAGCTTGATCCAAGCAGTCAAGCCGCTGTTCATGGTGCAGCTTTGTCCACACTCAGAGTGCCACCGTTTCGCTTGATCGTGTGTACGTCGCTTTGCTACCCATGTGCTACACAACGAAGAAACAGACGCTGCACAATTAAAAGCCCTGTGACGATCTGGCGGGACGGATTCAAGGGAAGCATGAGGAATGCAATCTTCAGTTGAACGCAGATGAGTAGAATTTGATCGGATGAGTAGAATTTGGTCGTGGCTTTGCTGTCGAAATTTAGAGGTCGAGGGCAAAAAAACGTTCCAACGCTCTGCAAGAGACTTTGGCATGATATTGAAGGACGAGGGGTTGGGTCTTAAGGGTGGTGCACCACTGTGCCAGCGCCACGTCCTCCAGCTGCGCCGGCACGACCACCAACATCGTTGTTGGCCAGAGCTATCTCCAGCACTCGACAGTCAATCACAACCTCTCGCTCCAAATACGCATCGCGTAAGCTCAATTCCTTGTCCACGTCCCCGCCGACGCCAAAACTGCCTGGCCAAAACGAACTTGCCGCCGTCGCTTCGTGGATCAATCCCGACGCTTTGAGCGCCGCGGCTACCTAATGGTTAATGTGATGATGCTACATCTATCCAACACACTTGTACGCCATACCAGCTCGGAGCAAAAGAAGCCTGAAAAGTCTGCGTTCGTTTCATGCGGGCGGATTAGTTTGTTGAGTGTCATGCTGTACGGCTTGCCTTCCACCTAATTGCGAATTATATCGTGCGCCGGCATTCCAAGTTGGTGGCGTACCAATGCCACGAACGCTTGCATGCGACGATGGAAAGTGTCGCGATGTCGGGGAGGCATCCTCAGTTTGCGCAGTGCAATGTAGTTGATAAAACACGAATTGTATGCAAGGATCCGAGGCACCTGCGCCCATCACGTATCAAAATTGCCATGAGAAGGTGTCTTACCAGAGGTAGCAGCGTCACCCCATCCCCTGTAGCCTCCAGGAGCAGGAATTTCGGAGGTCGGTTTGGTTCGGTCTGCGGGGCTTCGACGATCATGGCGACATGGTCCCATTCTGCGCCCGTCATCTACGCCGAGGATGGATTAAGCGGGTCGGAAATTCATCAAAAAAGATGTGCACAGGACGTGGCACAGGAGCGTACCGTCCGCTGGACGCCGCTCATGGGATTCTTGGATTGAAACAACAAAATGTCGCCCGTTTCAACGTAGCGATGTAAGATACGCAAGTGGATGACATCTCGGGGCACGCCGCTGATCCATTCGTGTTCGAGCCGCGGCGACGAAACAGCTAAACACAATGGAAAAGTCCATCAGTGAACGCAGCAGCGCTCGAGGCGCAAGGACATGCACCGCAAGAGACCAAACCCATGCGCCGTGGTAGCGATCGAGTGACTCGTACCACCAAGAAATGACAGAAATGCTACCGACTGCATGGTGTCTGGGCGGAGGCTCAACTGGCGTAAAAAGTGCTCGAGCCGCAGTTGTCTTTCTTGGATAAACTTAACGTCGATTGTGGGCAGCCTAAAAACTCCACACACATCAGCCACGACGCTGCGTGTCAAAGGAGCCGTCAACCAAGTCTTTGGCGGCAACACCGGAAGGTCCATCGCGCGCGGAAGCTCTTGCACGAGTTGTTCCCGCAGTTGTACAAAGTCTCGAAATCGCCGCGAAATGTGCCATTTCAAGTCGCCGTGGCACACCGTGATGCAAAAGACCTGGATTCGCATACCACCGTCAAACTCACCCCATGCAAGTGAATATCGATCGCTACAATTCCGCACCGTATACACGTGATCCGATAAATCTTGGACTCGCTTGCACGAGGTCAGAGTGAGCTCAAACTGAGCGTACTGGGCGACTTCGGATGCCAAGGCAAGGGTCAAGGAAAGCTCGCGTAAGACGGCGTCGCACGTTGCTGTGCATTGATGCTGGGTTGGTCGTTGGTCGTGCCAGTCACCAAGGTCGTTGCCATGTCGAGATTTCATTTTCATGACGCATTCGTCCATTCGAATGTCCTCTTCGCGGCGCCAAATTGTCTCGGGCTTCATGGCCGACGGTCCACCTTCGCACATGCACACGTTGACAAAGTCGCCGCAAGTCTCACATCGGTGGAGCTGGAACACGGTGTGAGACTCCAAGACCTCGGACGTGTCGAGCGGCGTGGCGGCGGGAGACGACTCTGAGACGACGATATCGACCCAAAGGTGGTCCCGTAGTAGCACGTGCACAATTTTCATATCCCCAGAATCATGAGAGGGACTTTTGTTCACCATGAAGAGTTTGACCTCCACGACCTCCATTTCCTTTGCGGCCGTGGCTTTGCGAAACGTCAGCGAATACGTATCTTGCAGCACTTTGAAGTCGAGAGAGGCGCTACCGAGATCATCGCTGTCGCTGAGGTCGTTCGAAACGTCAGGAAACGCTGTTCGGGCAAATGAGTACGCTTCGTTCATGGATGTCATCGACGACGTGATCGACGACGTCGCTGTGACAGGAGGAATCTGTGCGTTGTTTATTGGTGATCGATACGACTCATCGGACGAGGAGTTGGCTGCGTCGTTGTCCGACGCATCGTCGTCGGTGGTATCGACAGTCGCGATCGCGTCCTCGTACCGCCCTTGCAGGTACATAAACACAACCCTCTTGACAAGTCCCGTGGGTAAGCACGCGATTTTGCAATTCGTGGACTCCAATCGAAGCTGGCTGTTGCATAATGGAACGTGCACGACGATCGACTTGAGCTTGAACAGTTGTGGACATGGCTGCTACGCACACAAGTGGAGCCATTGAGAGACTGGTCATGGCCGCCCGCGTGCACATGAAACTTACATGTCGGCCAGTCAGTACGCGGTCGGCGGGATGCGCATCGCCGAAGCAGCTCCCCGTATAGCAGCTCAGGAGCCTCGACACCACCTGCATCGACGGCGTCGGCGGAGAATTCGTGATGCGCTCTCTTGGGTCTTGGAAATCGAACGAGCCAATCGCACGCAACAATGTATTTTAAATGCAGCCTCGAATTAAATTTTTCCCACTTTCACCCACCTTGTCGTGGGCAACACGTCAGCTATATTTCAAACCGAATATAAAATGCAGCATGTAAAAGTGAGCCATCGCAAGGGCGGGTTTTGATTGGCTCTCGTCATGGCAAAGATCGAAATCAGCCAATCACATTCAAGATGCATGGCAATATTGCCAAACGTCGCTGCAGCCAGCAATGCGATTTGTCACTCTGTTCGCACCCACGACATACACACAATCCACTGCTGGGATTATGACACAATGGCTAGGCTAGGCTAGCTAGCGTGTCATGAAGGCCTGAGTGGGCCAGGCACGCTTCGCAAAACTCTGTGAGGCTAGAACTACCCGCCACCAAACATCCCAAACGTTCGTCGATTGAAACGGGCGGCCACTCTATGCCATCAACCTTGATGTCGACCACATCGAGGTCAGGTAGAATTGTCTACCTGCAGTCGTATTCGCTGGGCCAGCGTAAGCTACCAAGCATGGCAAGTACTCTTTGGCGAGGGATGGCCTTACGCGACAGAGATCGCCAGCCAGCCACGGGCTCAGTTCCAAAAGTCTGCATATCTCATGATCAAATGACAACAAGCGCCTTTCGCCGATGTATATGTTGTCGTACCTCGTTGGTTTCTGCGCAACGGATCCGTGGACAACCCCCAAGAGTCGCTGCTGTGTTACGATTGCATCGTCTGGCCATCGCAGCAATGTCGCTTGCACCACCAAGGACTAAAGATCATACTCGAATTTCAAACAAGTGAACTGTACGTGCTCTCTTACCTTGCCCACGCTCCATGAGCTACTTGTCGCGCAACTCGAGTTAAAGAACTCTTCAACTTGACCAATGTACGCTTCGACCTGGCCGTCCGAACTGTTGCGGGCTTCTCGAGCAAGAGCTTGGCGTTGAAATTCATGCGCCAAGGCCATTATCTGAAGGGTGGCGGGCTGAGACCTCCATGCTTCGTATGATGGAATAACAAGGGACCTGGAGCCCACTACAGCACATGATGCATCGAATGGGGAGGCTATCGAGACGACGTACAAACGACGGACGTCGTCGGGTGCGCTTGGGCGAGAATGGTGGCGATGCGCATGAGTCCTTGCGCTGACTGCATCAAGCTTAGTCGAGTGGCGATATCCTACAGCTGTGAAGTTCATGCATTGAATTGGACTGTTGAACGGCGACTAGCCAACTCAATAGGGAATGCGCACCGCAAAGAGACGACTGGATGCTGATGAGCCTTTCGTGGGTTGTTTGTGCTCGTAGTCGGAGAGCTTGGGGTAATAGCCCACGACGCACTGCACAATGTCGGCCCGAAGCGGATGGGTAAGCAGGTATGGACTGCACACGATGGCTCGGACAAACTCGTTTGGCGCTGCGAACTCGATGTCCACGAGAAATAGATCGTAGTTTGCACATACCTTGTTCAAGTATGACTATGTCGAACGCGATCTTACGAGACAACATGGGAACCGTGTTGTATCGAAAGGAAGTGTTCATGCGTGCCTTGTGTGACTGATCCAGATCCCGCACGGCCCCGGCAACAAACACTGCCCAGTCCCACGCCCGATGCATCGCAGCCGCATTCCATTCATGCAGTTCTTGTGTCTGCGAACTCTGCAAGATACGTAGGAACGTCGTCACATGCGTCGTCAACTCATCCACTTCCGTCGCCGCCATGTTTCGCCAAGCATATTTTCAGTACGGATAGCCCAAATCATCCGGATTTGTTAGGTCGCCGCGCATTCGCCCGATGCAAGGATCCGCGATGGTTCCGAGGAGATGTTGCTTGGAAGGGTCAAGTCTGTGGTGCATGAGGATGCCAACCATGAAGTACTCAAACATCAACGCCAAAAGCACGCCAATTGTTTACAGAGTTTAAGGACCACCGGCGGCGCGGGCAATCTTCAAGGCGGACGCGTACCATTTCAATTCATTGACGAATTGCTTGGTACCGTTCTCGATGGATTCACCGCTGGCACCAGCTTCGGGACTGATCGTACCGTCTTCGTGGAGTACGTTTTGAACGACAGGGAATGGCAATTCCTTGGGGATCGTGACCAAGCCCAATTCGCCAAAGAAGGGTCGGAGCGGACCAGCAGCACGGACACCGCCGAATCCGCCGACCGAGTACGTGACGATCCCGGCGACCTTGTTTGCGTATTCCGAGTAAAAGTAGTTCAACGTGTTGCTTATCACGGGGGAGAACGTGTGGTTGTATTCAGGGGTGACCACCACGAACGCGTCGGACCCTTCAAATTTGCCTTGGAGCGCAGTAAGGGATTCCGTCTTGAGCTCCGCGGGAAGGTAGGCGAATCGACCGACAAACAAAGGCAGTTTGAGCTCGGTGGGGTCCACCACGTGGACGGCAAAGCCTGCAGCTGCCAGTTTCGATTCGAGGTACTTGGCCACGCGCAGCCCTTGGCGGCCTGGGCGGACGGAGCCGAGAACGATGGACACGGTGAGCGACATTTTTCAGAATGAGGGGATTGGAACGTGCGTTCGAGGGGTCGGTGGCACGAACCGTCGTGGACGGCGAATTCGGCAGTCTTCAAAGCAGACGATCTTGAAGTCGTTTGCAATGATCGTGAACTTTGTTGTAGCAGGCCGCGGAAGGAAGTTCCCCTCACATCCCTGCCTTTAGCAATTTCATTGGCTTAAAATTTGGAGAAGCCATGTGTGATTGGTCAATTTTGAATTCCCCAATTGCTGTCGTCATCCATGATGCCACAGTAATCCAAGGCAGACATTTCGTCACACTATTTACAGTGTAGGAGCCAAACGTCGCCATGTTGTGTCCTCGAATTGCTCCGACGCCACCTTGTGAGCGGCGCTACAAGATGCTACGATGCACTTGAGATGCTCTATTTCCCCCGTATGCAATGTTACAGTTTGGTTGGCCTGGACGACAACACTAGCCCACACACGAGTGTTTGCCTGAGTGCAAAGAGCTGGTCGAGTCCCTGAAGCCCTGGCCATAGCAGGCAGTCAACGTCATTCGTCTTGTTCTGAGCTGCCCCACATAGCATGGATGGTGTCGATATTTCATGGCCCGGTTCGCCCCAGGAGAATGGGCTCCGCCTTGTGAAGGAACAACACAGTTTGAACGTGGTGTACCCTTGTTAGACATCTCACCCTTCCTCTTCGGTTCTTACGCCCTACGCCAAAGGACCACTTTGCCCAAGCTCACACAAGTACCATTTCTTCGTTGGCTTTCCGTGCACACAGTTGTGTACATGGAACGTAGAACATTTCAAGCCGAGACCATCCACGGCGGCAAATCCCTTGCCTCCAGTGTCATGGATGTGGAAGCCCCTTGAGTTACAACCACACTGCAACACTATTCGTCGAAAGTCCAACGAAGTGTTACAATTCCTCCTCTAACCTCGCGTCGGAAATATTGGATCGACTGTTTTGCGGAAGCCTTAGCCCGCTCGGGTGACGTGGTGCTCAGCTCGATTGTTTTCGTGGCCCGTCGTGAGTGTCTTCTGGTGACGGTAGAAAGGCTGTGCCGTGGCCAAAGTGCGCAATTGTGTCCACGATTGCTAGTATTCGAGCTCAATGTAAGTGTTTGCCTCTGCGTTTTCGCATCAAGGAAGGAACTTCACGCCGAACGGAAGGAAGTTCGTGGAAGTTCCTTCGTCTTGCGATCAACGCTTCTGATTGGTCAGGACGAAAGAGATTCACAATCCATCGACAGCCGGCACAACGTGGGGTTTCCTTCATCTCGTGCCTCATTCGTCAAGATGACGCTGACTGTTTCCATCCTCCTTGGATCCGTGCGCCCTGGTCGCCAAGGCCTTCGTGTGGCAAAGTTCCTCGAATCGAACCTGGCGTCGGCTGGCTTCGGTGTGCACGTGGTTGACCCTCGCGAGCTCAATCTGCCATTGTTTGCCGGCCGTTTCGACTACCTCCCTGTCGACGAGCAGACGGACTCACTGAAGGAGTTGAAGGCCAAACTCACCGAGTCCGACGCGTTTGTAGTGGTGACTCCCGAGTACAACCACACGTTCTCGCCTGTGATCAGCAACACGCTCGACTACTTCTACCACTCCGAGTACTATTACAAGATTGCAGGCATAGCTACGTATTCGATGGGCGGATTTGGTGGAATCCGCGCGGCCGGTCCATTGCACCCGTTTTTGGGGGAGCTCGGGCTCGCTACCATTCCCAAGGAGTTGCCCTTCCCCGTCGTGCACAACCTGCTCAACGAAGACGGTACGGTCCAAACTACCGCTGGCACCAGCGGCGAAAGTCTCAAGAACGGCGTCAAGCAGTTTGTGAGTGAATTGAAGTGGTATGCCACGGCACTCAAGACGGCCCGCGCGGCAGGTGTTCCTACGTCGTAGGTGCGCTGCTTCCGAGAACTCTCTACCACTCGCTCAGTAAATCGGGTTAGGAGGGCACTGTGACTGGGCTAACCAGAGACCGTATTGCCCCTTGTGAACAGAACCTGACTCTTCAGCCATTGCATTATTAATAGGTGCGAATTTGGAGGTGGTTGTCGCGTGCCAACAGGTGAATTCGCTCCGGGGTTTGTTCTATCGCACGCACTTTGCACGCAGCCATGCACGACACAACGGCAAACAGACCGACGTGCAGGGCGAGAAGCATGATGTACCTACGGGAGGAACAATGACGCCTCGTCGAGGTTCGCCAGGGCGTGGGGCATACCAGAAGGGGGCGGCAGGATCGTCCACGCGAAGGAATGTGTACATCCACGGCGATTGTGGGTGCGACGAGTGAAGTACCCATGCGTAGATGGCGTATGTTGTGGGAAAGAGGACAACCCATGCGCCAGTGCTCCACCCCACGGACCGTGTGTCGCTCCAGAGAAATTCCACGACGAGGAGGGCCGTGTTGAGGCCATGCTGGCTCCAGCTAATCCAGTTCCAATACAAATCGTTCCGAGTGTCCCCTGCCATGGGGTACAAGCCAAGCCACACAACAAGGGAGATGAACATGCTCACGGGAAACACCACATCAAACAAGATGAGCCGACCACGGCTCGTGCACTTGGGGTCTTGGAGGCTCCACGACCAGTACAGAATCTGAAGAGAGAAAGCCCACACAGCGTACGAGTTCATGCAGGATCCGTCCGTTTCCCAAATGTTGGCTACGAGGACGGCGACAAAACTCACGAGGCAGCATACATAAAAGAGGTGCTTGAACACGGTCGGGGACGGACGCAGTGCGTACGATGAGTGATACGACTCATTTTCAGGTGGCGGGGACCAGCATAGGATCCATAAACTCGCAACTGCGGACACGGCTTCGATCGCGCCGACCACGTCGACTTCCCACGCCACCATCACGACTTCAGCGTTGTCTCCAGCACGTTCACGGCTGTGCCTGTGGTCCAATCCGATTGCGTCAATGGGTACCCTTTGAACTTCCTTCGATTTGATTGGCTCAAGTCCAACATCATTTAGTTGACTGCAATACCGATCAAAACAACGCACTATCTTGACTTGGGACATCTATTTTGACGACGTCTTCGAACGATATCCCGTGACCAAAGTCGCAGGGTTGGTTCGCTGCCCCATCGCACACGGGCTCACGTTGGATGAGGGATCGAGATATGACTATGCTGAGTGGCCATGGCGCTTTGGATTCGATTTCCTTCGACAGGAGCAGCTAATGCTTCGATGTACATTTGTGCGACAGTACATCCATGTCGATTGTCATAGATCGGACAGGCTTCGAATACAGTATGAACTCGAGTAATTCTTAAGACCGACCGTCCAACGAGTGGAAATATTTCTCACGATTGTCCAAGTTGAACGTCCGTGAGGTATTTTTATTCCATATCGTCCATCGAGGCATGATTGGCTAAAAATCGCATGAGCTGGAGGACACAGCATGCCTGGCATGGTGGACCAGTTGTACATCGAAAGTCGCTAGGTCATACCGCTCTGTGGCTGTCGCGCTCGGTGTGGCGTCGTGGACGGCGGGTGCGGTCAGTAATTGCTGGGGGACGGTGACAATCTGGAAGGAGACGACTAAAAACCCACCTGGGATTGACTTCCAACGATTTTATGATCGTGACACTTTTAGCCAATCATGCCGCGATGGACAATTTGGAATAAAAATACTTCATGAAAATTCAACTTGAACGATCATGAGACTATTTCCACCTTGAGAATTAGAATTACCCAACTAACTAATTGATGTTTCAAATTTGTAAAAGATTTATTATCCACGTATTTTGTCCAATGATTGAACCCGACGTAACGAGACCAATTTGCCTCACGCTCGCGACCACAGAGCTCTTGCTCACGCTGGAGCAAAGAGGAGATCGTATGTATACATTCCTCCAGGCGGAGCATTGGGCAGGAGTGAGCTCGAATCGTGCTTGACGTCGAACGTCCCATCTTTCCCTCTCGTCGGGAATACAGTTGTACAGGCCTTCAGACGAGGCAGAAACACAAGAATCGCACTGTCATGAACAATCTCGATAAATCCTACGGAGTACAGTGACCGAAGCATGCATGTGTGCAGGTCATGTCGCGATGCTGACGTAATGTTTAGTATGAGTTTCTATGTGGTTGGTCGATGCTGGCTCCCTTTGGGGGTCACCCGTGGAAGCAAGAGCTTGGATGTGCCGTCGTAATCCACCGGAATATGCTCGGCGATGTATACTTTGATGGCTGCCAGCAGCGCGACAACTCCGAAAAACACAATGTGGAGCGCCAGGAGGCCTAAATACCTGCACGATGCAGTGCCACGACTGAGCGAGGGACAAAGCGAAATATATGGCGAAGTCACGTACCACAGCGGGGCCCAAGGCTGGTCGACGTCCAAGAACGGGTACAGCCACACGTTGGTAAAGCTGTGCACAACCCACGCAAACGTGGCGTATGTCGTGGCCCACAAACCGACGAGCGCGCCCGTGCTCAAAGGCACGGACCGGACGTCGCTGCACACAAACTCGATCAAGAGCAACACGAGGTTACCGCCATGTTGTGTACAACTGATCCAATTATTCAAGTCGTCGCCCACAAGCGGGTACAGTATTGCCCACACTACGACGACCATGACCATGTTCGTGGGCAAGAGCAGGTCGAGGAACATCGATCGAGCGCGGCTGGTGCGTTTCGGATCGATCAGCGCCCAAATCCAGTACGCCGTTTGCAGCACGAAGTTCCAAAACGTGTAGTACAGCAAGCACGATCCGTTCGTTTGTCTCAAGTCGGCACCGGCCACCACGAGAAAGAGCACCAACGAGCTGAAGTGGAAGAGGCGACCGATGAGCCGCGGTGGAGGTCGCAGCGCATACGACGATACGTACTCTTCATGTGCAAGGGGCGCTTGGAAGTAAATGACCCAGACAGAGACAGCGGTCGCCAGGATCAGCTCCGCACCAACGATGTAAGCCGTCGTCGTCATGAGCGATGGAGACTTCAGCGTAACAATGCTCGAAGCTGTGAGTTCAAGAATTTGACGAAAATGGTGGATAGCGACGCTTGATTGGACGAAAAAGTGAAGGTTTTATGAAAATAAAGGGGTTTGATTGGATAGCATGAACACCTGCGAATAATCAACCGATCGACGGGGAATGAATTGGGAGCCGCCGATGCCAACACGACAAGACTACTTCGACAAAGCAGCGCTGGGAGCTAAAAAAAAGAGTGCGAGGACATTTAAAGCGCATGGCTATTGTGTGGTGGTCGCTAACGTCCTTCAGGAGGATGGAATGTGGGGATTGCATGCAGCAAAATCCACCACAACATGGATGGATTCCTTGCATTCCAAATACCTCATTGTGACCATGTGCAGACTTTACTGACGAAACCCTTCGCTGCATTTTCATCTTGTGCATTCCACCGCGTGTTCCCACTCTATGTACGACCTATCAGGTCTTGGCATGTGACAGCCTTTGAAGGCGTGCCGAAGGAGCCGCAAGCTCCGCGCTCCAACGTTTTGACTTGTCTAAATATCTCGCAACAGAAACGAAGCCCACAGCATCCACAGGAGATGTTGCGGTATGGTCGCACACAATGACCGTGATTCTTGGGATTGAATAGCCGCCGACACCGTCTACATGTGATTCACGCTTTCTTCTTCCGTCACCTTGTACAGACCGTACGTCTTGGTGGGGGTGGTGATGAAGACGCTAACAACTTCACGGGCGTCCATGAAGGTGCTGACACCGCCCGTCCAGGCCATCTAGGGTATCTGGTTCACGTCCCCACCGAAGAAGCGCGAGTTGGCCACGATCGTGTTATGCACGACCATCTCGATGCGAGACACAGGTGGCGAGCTCGGTTCGTCGTTGGCGTGCATGAACGAGTGGCAGCTCTTCTTCCGGTAACGTGAAGTATTCGTGACGGGGCATTGGTTCTCAAAGTGAAAACCATCAAGTAGTTCAAGGACCTGCATGACACCAACGAGCACATGGTCTAGACTCGCAATGCGGCTCCTTCATCGTGTAGCGTCTGCAATTGGTCTCCACGCATCCCTGCGATTCCTATCGCTTGCACACACTGAATGGACGCAGTGTTAGCGCCACTCTTTTATGCCACTTGAGCTCCTGAACAATCTCGAACAGTACACTCGCAAGCACTCGCGGAGTTGCAACGGTATGGACGATGTGCTTCCTTGTACTCTGCGTGTTCGTGGCGGAACTGCACCAGTGCTCTGAACAAGACCTATGAAGTCTGCAAGTCTTCAGCAACGGGGGCAACAGCCGCTGTACGACCTTTTCTGCATGATGTCCTCGCGACGCGAGCTGCCACCCGACGACGTTTGACATTGAATTCGTTCAAACCCCGAAACCCCGCAGCCATTGGTCGATCGGCATGGGAATCATCCAATCGAAAGCAAGGATTGTGGGGGGTATCACCCAATGAAATCAAAGTAGACACTTGCAGAACCAAGATCGCTCGACAAACGGACCGACCGAGCAGATGTGGGAGCCGATTGCCGTCGCCTGCGAAGAAGCGTTGAGCGTCGTGGCGTGCATCTATATCTTGCGGTGCTATCCGCCGCACCGACAAGAGGCCTACACATCTCACAATGCGAATCGGTCGGATCCTCCGAGTGTCCTCCACCAAACGTTTTATGCAGCCTGTGCGATTTTCCTTTTCGCCACCCATGTTGCCGATGTCGTCAAGACAAGAGGGAACTGTTACTACTTCTTCACCACATGGAACGTCCTGATGCAGCTGTCCTTTTGGTGTTGGTCGTTCTTTGACGCGTCGGGGCGCAGCAGAGGCCGAGCTGTGATGTTGGATGTCCTCTGGCCAACTTCCATTCTCGTCACGATCGTAGTTTGGGCGATCTTGTACCCCATGGTTCACGCCATCCATGAAGACTATGTCCTACTAAACTGGATCAGCTACTGTCAGCATGGCGTCAACGCCGTCCTGCTGCTCGTGGAATGGACATGGAGCGACGCGCGTCGTGTCGCGTTGAGCACATGTGCATGGAGCATTCTGTTTCCAACCATTTACGTGATTTATGCATGGATCGTGCATGAATCTGTGCACATTACGTGGCCATATCCATTTCTCGCGACCGATCGGCCGTCCGCCCCATTGTGGTTTGTCCTCTCGGACACATATCCTTCCTGAACCAAGTCATGTAACTTCCTGTAGGTACTTGTTTTTCTTTCTCCTTCAAGTGATGATGTTTGCTTTGATCGCCGGCGCCGCAACCTTGAGAACTCGAGCCGCGAATCGCAAGCGTGTTGACACGGTGGACTCCCTCGTCCATTTGCTCGTGGAGTGAGTCCGATCATATGCCACGTAAGCTTTTGTGCGGTACTCGACGAACGATCCGTTCGATCCAGGCCACTCCCATCCTGAAGTACCATCCTGATACGTCGTCGTGGGTCTCTGCATGACCACCAATGAATACATTCATGGATGCTCACCTCCTAAGCTAACGAATTCGGCCGGCGCATCGCCCAACATATACGTCTACATCCGCTGTAAAGTGGCAAACATGCTTGTCTGGGATGGCCTCGACTGTAGATATTGCTTACGTCCAGCTCGGAATCGCGTGGTTGGATGCTGGGTCGCATTGTACGTCGATACGAATAAACTCATTGAATCTCGGTTAAAGCACACGATATACACGACATACGCTCGATTACGACGCAGTCAAGTGTTTGGTGTAGTTGAGCACGAGCGCCGCGTACGTCTCGGTGCGGCGATTGTAATCGAGTACGTTGATGCATGCGTTGTCTTGCCCAAGCTTTGGATTTTCCAATGGAATGTTCAGTAGCGATGACAGCACAATTTTGTTGAACCGACCATGACACACAAAGGCAATGTGATCGTTGGTGTCGGTGGAGCGCACCAAGTCGTGAATGGCGGTGACGCCTCGTTTCTCGACATCTAGCGCGCTTTCTCCGCTGGGGAACGCCGCGTTGAGCTGGCCTCGCTTCCACTTGGCGTAGATGTCCTGGAGTAGCAACTCGTTACTTGTCCTTGTCGTGCCTTCCATCGTGCCAAAGCTCATTTCTTCCAAGTCGACAAACTCGCCACCTTTGACATTCCGTCGTCCTTCCCGTATATACGATGCCGTCTCACTTGCCCGCTGCAAGCTGCTGCTATAAACCGCGTTGAGAGGAACGTCCTTGAATGCGCGTGCCAACTTAGCTGCCTGTTTCTGTCCGGTCTTGTTCAGGTGGGCGTTGACCCCTCGGCCTTGCAGGATGCCAAGGCTGTTGTAGTCGGTTTCGCCGTGGCGGCAAATGTACACCCGTACGAATCCTTCTTCGAGGGGAGGGACTTGATGGGAGATGCTTCGAATCGTTTGCATCATGCTGTGGACCACCGTTTCTGCTGTGCCACGGAGGACGATCGGCGAATGATGCGCGAGAGGGTCGGCCGCCTCATCCCGAGGACAAAATGGAACTCCTCACGCTGCGCCGCACAACGGACCAATCGAAAGCACTCCAGGCACTTCCTGGAATTTGATTGGTCCATCGGAGAACCCGTTTTGGCGTGTCACACGACTGGTCGAAACATGCAGCCAATCATCTCGCGAGAAAACACATCCCCCAATCAAATCATGGGATTCTATGTAGAAACTTCCTCCTGTGGATGCGGTTTGAACAAGCACCGACGACGGCGTAGGAGGCACGACTGAGGTCGTTCGTGCTTGGGAGCTACGACAGGACACCCAGCTCCTTCTTGTTCTTCGTGCGCAGTCGAGCAACGGTCGCACCCGATTTCCCGAACAGACGTTTGCATGGGGGAACAGGACGGTCGAGTAACGGCGTGTCCGCCAACGCAGTCCGCGCTTTCGACGTGGAGACCATCGCCCTGCCTGGCAATTCGATTCGCCATTGCAGGCTTCGCAGAACGGAGAGCCCTGATCATCCACACGACATTCGTGCGTTTCTATCGTGGGTGCGCTTCCGCGTGCTGCAGCTCGTCGACTGCGGAGGAAAGTAGAATGTTGGTCTTTGGTTGCATGCACTCCTTTGACGGAACCGCACCCGAATTTCATCTTGTGGTTTGTATGATGTTCGATTCCGGGTTGGGTGGTGGCCCCAGCCAAGTTTGGTTTTTTTGTCGTGTGAGATTTTGCCAACAAGAACCGTGGGCGGCGATATTCCGCATGGAATCGTGGGTGCTCCATCGAGTATCTGCGGCCGGCGATGTGACGTCGGCGCACATGCAACAAGTCTGCTGGGTGCTTGTCGTGTTGTTAGTGAGCTTTCTGGGGGTGTTTAGCCTTCCCCTACTCATGCTGATCGTGTACATCTTTCACCGATTCGTGGTGCGCCAGCGGTACGAACGATGGAACAAGCTGTCCGCCGAGTGCCGCGACGCCGTGGTCGCGATCACGCAAGAGATTTCACCCCGCACGCCCGACCTGAGCGACCTCGAATGGTTTGGCCACAGCGACCATTTCAATGTGAGCCTTCAAACAACGATCGAAAACATTCGAGTGAATCACCCCCGCATGCACAATCGCGATCCGTTCTACGAAACTCTGTCTGTCTTTGGACCTTCCATCACCCCCGACTCGGTGGCATTGGCTCAGTGGACCCTCCTCCGCGCCGTCGATCGGTACTTGAATTTTGCCGAAACCAAGGCGAACGTTGAGGTGAGGCTGCAGGACTTCGTCGTGAAGAAGCGGCTGTACGACGAACACATGAATGAAAAGAAGGAGCAGCTGCGGTACCGATTGCGCAAGGAGCTCAAATGGAGAAAGGACCCCGCAGAAGAGTGGGAAGAGAGCAACTGGCTCAAGAAGTGGTGGCGCAGCACGTGGAGCGGGCTGACATCGACCCCGTTGTCAACCCCAGGGCCTCCCTTCCCACCATCAGATGACGATAGCTGCTGCAGCATTTGCTTGGAGGAATACGACACAATCAAGGACATGATCCAAGCCAAGTGTGGCCACGTCTTTCATGAAGACTGCCTCATTGAATGGCTCAAACTCAAAACGTCCAACAAGTGTCCGTATTGCCGCGCCGACATCCTGAAGCCCACGTTTCTCCAGCAATTTTTCTCCACTTAACTCTTTAACCTATTCAATTACAGCTCGATGTGCAGCCCACCCGCGTCACTCTTCCACGAACCAAATTATCCTTGCTCTCGATGACGAGGCCAATTTCTTGGGGGTACCAGGTTGAACGCCTTCACCTGTGCGATCCTTTGCCTTGAGACTAGTCATTCACGTCGCCATATTTCACATCCCGCAGTGGTGGCCACAATGTCCAGCATATCCAAACTATGACCAGCTTCAGAGCGAATTCAGCAGCGAGTACGAGGTGGCCATTCCGTGCTCCAAACCCACAACACCCTCCCAAGTGGTCCGATTTGAACGGCATCGTTTTCAACGGTCGCGGCAGCTAGCATGTTCTTGCTGGTATGGAATCGACATCCCGATGGATAAATCGTCGTGAACTCAGCGATGACGTGTGGACAACGCGCACTTGTGGAGGCGCATCTTTGTCCTACGTAAAGGCATCGTCCGCCAAGATCGTTCTTAAAAAACGTTGCACGAAATGCATCAGCAGTAGATGATGGCCTCACATGGAGCCGGGATGAGTACGCAGTGATCGTGAAGGTGGCGCTGGGACGAGGACGTTCGTATGGTTCGCCATTCCTTGCAGCGGATTCTCGAGTCGAACGCACACCTTGTTGTCGTCAAATATTCTCGGCTGATACCCCCGAGTTCACACGAGGCGCTTCGTCTTTCTCGACACAGACACGTACGAAGTGGTTGCGGCGATTAATGCTCATGATTCCGTTCAGCAGCATCCATACCAGCCTCGCGATGTCGCAGAAGCTTCAAGTTCTTTGCAGCGCACAAGGATATGGAGGATTATTGTGGCCTGCCCACTCGGGATGCGCACAACTCGAAGGCTCTCGCGGCCAACTAACCACACACGGCAAACGCGATGGACAGGTGACGGTATTGATCACCAAACACGATTTGCTGTCGATGGGGCGTTGGCCCGAGGGCATTTTTACAGCACCTGCTCCTAGTCAACGTGGGAAGCACCGTCAACTGCGGCAGGTTTGCAGCAGCGCCTGCAACGACGTGCTGAATTCGATCAGGTTCTGGAGCCGGCGGTCAGCATTTTCGGTGACCACTTGGACTCATTGTCTGACGATAGCAACTTCCTAGGCATGTGTCGAGCCAAGTAGTCCACACTCAAAGAAACAAGTTATGCATTTACGGAGTGTCGCCCGCATTGGGGCCGTCACTGTTCATTGATGCGCATAAGAGCGTTCACCTGCTTGAAAGTTTCGGCGATGTTGCCGTTGTAGTTGGCCAGGAGCGTGTGCATCACGTCAGAGAATTCTTTGATCATGGTCTTGAGTGAGTCGAGGACCGTGTCCGTGACGGTGCCCACTCGAAAGTACCGTGATGCCGACTCGGCGTCGCTACGAGTCCCGTTCGCCGTTTGCAGCATGGGCAACGTCGATTTTTGAAAGAATTTGAGGCGGCACGCTTTGCCGCCGTCGAGTTTCTCAATCACGAACCTACACACACCACAACCTGAGAGGTCTCAGCGACAATGTCGGGGGCCGCACCATGCGCTCTTGTTCAACACTAGCGCCCCTTGGTCGAATGGATGCAGCTCGTCCTCCAAGACGCTCCTACCCAACACGCAGCGCATGAGTCCATGCCCAAACCATGCTCGCTCACGTTACCGACACACAATCACGTCGCGGTCGGGCTCCGTGAATCTTTTGTAGAGGCAATTGGCTTGGTGGGACATGTCGTCGTTCCATTTCTTTTCAATTCGAATGTAAGCCGAATTGTAGTCGAATTTCTCTAGCATCTGCACACCCCAGTCAGCACGACGTACGTCAATAACGGCGCGACTTACCTCGAACGATGGCTTCAATTTGGCCCCGCACCCGCTCTGAAGCAATGCCCACGCCATCTCCGACACCACATCGAAGGCATACCGCTTTGTCTCACAGAACGCCACTTGCAGCACCAGGTCAGCATTGCCCTTCGTGAGCCGCGGCACGTACGACTCCAATTCGTCGATTCGATCGAGCAATCCACCGTCAACCATCGCGCTGTCCGTCAATTGGTACTGCTGCTGATAGATCTCGTGCACGGCGCGGCGCCGGAGCATTGGTTCCTTCACCAGTTTTAGTACACGCCATTGTTCGCTCTCGAGGGTGGGTAGAACTGTGAGCTTTGGTCGTTTCTTCATGAGCGCCTGCAGTGCTTTGCCAAACTCGATCTGTTCTTCCAGTTCGTGTCGGAGCTTATCATTCTCGTTCAGCGCGGTTTGCTTGGCGATGCGCATTTGATTCGCCATTTTTTGCCACGGGGTCTCGTTCACAATCTCCATTGACTTCACCTGTGCCACGATACGCAAGTGCTGTTCGAGTTCGTCGACTTTCGACCGCAGGTATTCGAGCTCCTCGCGCTGGCGCTTGCGGCTATGGTTGATCTTCTTTGGACGTGCAGGTTCCCCGCCCAACACTATCGGCGCATCTTGTTCCGACGACGTGCTGGTTGAATCCGTTGTCGAGTAGTGGATGCCGGACGACAAAACTTTGGCTGCACTGGCATTGTTCGACACAGTTGACGGAGCGAATATGTCAAAGTCATCCATCAGCATCGCATCGACGTCGTACGTCGTGGCCAATGCCTCATCCAGGGGCATCGTGTCGAGGAACAGCAACGACGACTCCATCGCGCTCGACTGACACGATTTTGATGCAACTCCAACGATGGGAAGTGGTAAAGCGATGATATTTTATTAAAATACAGAGGTTCTTGCATTTTTAGGTAACAGAAATACCTACATTTATTCCTAGGGGATATCATATTCCGTAGTCTATAGTGTACAAAGAGATGTACGCTTCCAGTTAACCAGGATTGTTTCCGTTCAAACGTTGTGGACATCACATTCAAATCGCTCGGCCGACTTCTTCGACGTCAATTTCCGCAATGTTGCCATGGCGCACACGCTGGAGCACTCTGAGCTGCGTGCCAGGCGCCAGCAAGCACTCTTTCTCTCCTGGGAACATGGACAGCACGGAAATGTCCATCGCAGTCTTGCACTTGACACGGAGCAGCGTGCACGACCCGCCGCAGCTTCGCATAAAGTTACGTGCAACGTTTTCGTCCGACGTGCAGCTGCTGACGCCCCACCACGTGATGATTTTGCCTTCTTCGTATGCGTCGAACAAATCGACGCTCACGCCACGCCACAGCGTTTGTTCCTTTTGGGGCATGCGGCACATGGCCTCCAGGAACACGCGAAGGTAGCTAAAGTACTTTCGAATGGCTTGTCGGTTCTCGGAACGCAAGGTCGAGTTGAGCTGCGAGTAGATCCAATTTCCAGTGTAGAGCACGATGGAGCCATACAACTCCTACATCGGGCAAACTGTGAGAATGTAGTATTTACCCGGTGAAAACGTTGGTGGTATACCTTGTCCATAGGTTTCGTTGGGGACCCAGCTTTCGCCTTCACCAGTTCTGCCCCACGAGATTGGCATTGCTTGATGGCTCCAACTGTTCAAATGGCAAAGTTAGCAAATGTAGTTGAAGCATGGTGTTAACGTACCTTGAGTGATGACAGAAGCAGCTTCAAGCAATGTGGACGGAAGCGGCAAGTCCATGATGCCTTCAATGGGAGCCAATCCAGTTTGTTCTTCCATGTCATCAAAGCCCATACGAAGCCAAAAGTCCAAGAGCGCTTCCTTCTCTTCGACCAACTTGGTTGAACCCAAAGGTGGAGGGCGATTGCGACCAGCCAACGTTGGGATAAGCGAATAGTACTCCCCCGAGAGCTGATTTATGGTATTGGCGCCTGCTCGCGACGAGAGTGCAGCTTTGATCTTCTCCAATACGACTTGTCCCTTGTGAATTTGGGAAGCTGACAATTTCCCCATTGCCGCATCACCTGCGCCACCGTCGCCCGTTTCAGTCGTGTCCAACTCGACCAACTGGTACTTGTACGAGTGCTTCACAAACGCATGTCTATCGGCCCATTTGTTCCGCGTTTTGTCGGAGAACTTGGCCTCGAACTGCGTGATCGCTCGGTCCAAGTCGTGGCCAAATGGCGCAAGCTTGTGCTGGCCGGCCTCCCCCAGTCGCCCCCATCGCGTAAACACGTAGTATGTGTGGTCGCTTACCGACTGCAGAAGTTGGATGATGTAAAACTTGTTGTTGTTCGTGCCCAGGTTGGTCTGCATGAGGTCCGTCAAATAGTCGTCGACGATTGTAAACTGGTCACGGCTGGCCAAGAATCGATCGGGTTTTCGTGCACCAATGCGCTCGGTCTTTGCTTCGTCGGCTTTGGGCTTCTTGGGTGAGGAAGGAGAAGTCTGTTCCGGCGCTTCTGCTTTGGCACGTTTTTTACCCTTCGTGACTCTTTTGGGAGGCGCAATGGGTTCTTCCTTCACCTCATCTTTCACGGCGACTTTCTTGCCTCGCTTTGGCTGTATAGCCACTGCTTCCATAGCAGGTTCCTCCTGTGGCTCGGGTTTGACCGCACCCAACGCTTGCACAAACTTGGACTCGCTCCACACCTCGACTCCGCTAGGTGCCTTTGTCGCCTCATCAGCAGCTACCAAGACAGTGGTCCGCCTGGTAACAGTTGACGTCACGGACGCTCCCGCCGCTCGAGCTTGAGCAATCGCGTCGGCTCTTGAGTAGCTCCTGAGTTTGCCCACGAATGAAATGACTTGACCTTGAATTGTCATATTGTCCGAGATTTGAAATGTGATGTCGCATGCACAAGTCGACATTGCGATCAACATTCAACAACTTTGATGTATTACGGGAGTGATGGTAATAGTTTTAATTCAGAGTGCAGGTCGCAGTTGTCATGAAAGAGAAAGGCCGAGACCGCTACCGACCATTACTGACTGTGAAATAGAATGATATTTGAGCGAACAAGCACCTCCATTTACCTCTGGCACACGTCACCATAGCATCGATTCGGATAGTATATCGGTGTCGTGCGCTGCATGTCAACTAAACGGGTGGCCGCATGCACAGCAAGCCGATCAGGTCATCTTCTCTACCTCTGACGTTCGTCAATGCAGCATGAGGGGCATCCAGTGTGCGGACGCAAAAACAAGTAAAAAATATAAACATTATCTATGGAATACATTAGCAAATAATGATGAATATTTGGGTGCATTTATATATACTTTAAATT